GGTTCAAATCCAGCTCGGCCCAATAGTTCGCCAATGTACCATGAGATGGTATAACCCCCTTGTCCATCTGAAATACCCGCAAATCAACAAACTCAATGTCAATTAAAAAAACCTAGAACTAAGGTTGATGGGCGCTTAAGCTGTGCAATTTGACTTAACATGTTAAACATGAATTCTGGGGAAGACAAACTTAAACTTGGTTGATTCTTATGAAAACTAATCCTGCTCATGGTAAGTTTAAGTGCATTACTCTGAGGCCTTCAGCTATGTGATAAAACTTGTGCAATTCTAGCATGAAATTTGCATAAGAAACTGGCACGAAAATTCTATATCTACCGATGAAGTTGAATTTCAAACCATCGTGAGATTCGGGAAAATATTCTTAACGATGCCAGGAGTTTGAATACAATAGAAGAGAAGAAAAGAAAATTTTACTTTCGTCCATCGCTCGAGGCATATTAGTTATTGTTTCTAGATGTTGACAGTAAATTACTCCTTAACTTCTCTGTTCATATTTAAAACTGTGTGCGTACATAAACAAAAGAAGATGATAATGTACTGCCCACCTTATTGATGGGAGTTGCAACAAATTGCTACTATGAACTAGTGTTTATAAATCTCTTCACCTTTGTTGATTGTGAATGTTGACTGTAAGATTATTTTGCTTGCTCATCTGTTGTAAGCTTTCATCCGTTTCTGATAAGCACTGTACCTAAATTCAGGGTGAGAATATTATATTAATATCCAACCACCAAAGTGAAGCGGACCCAGCTGTTATTGCTCATTTGCTGGAATCCACGTGTCCACATATTGCTGAGAATTTGGTAACAATGTTGTTCCTTGAACTGAAATACCATCAAGATGCTGCTGTGCATTTAGGCATTTATAGGTTTGCTAATGTGTTTGCATGTGATGCAGATCTATGTGGCAGGAGATAGGGTTGTTACAGATCCTCTTTGCAAACCATTTAGTATGGGAAGGTGCTTAGCTTTTTGTGTTCTTGAAATTTTCTTTTACGATTTGTGCATCTATTACCATGTCTTTACCTATATAGGACTTTCAATTGGTTAGGAATCTTTTATGTGTGTATTCCAAGAATCACATGAATGATGACCCTGAGCTTGTTGATATGAAAAAAAGAGCTAATACAAAAAGCTTGAAGGAAATGGCCCTTCTTTTGAGGTAAATTTCCTATTCCTGAATTATTTTTGTTTATCAGTAAGAACTTGGAAAATTTCCAGGTTATAATTGTGATGCTGTCAGCCTCCCTTCAAGGCCCTACTCCCTACTCTGCATTACAAGCTCTGCTTTTGAAGAAATTGATTTCCTAGATAGATATATTCTCCAATTGTTTGGACCTTTTTTTGCCAAGCCGCAATCTTTGCAGTGGTGGTATTAATATGATAGGATAGACTGGCCAGTTTTCAATTAAGATTAAATTGACAATCAAAGGCTTACTCTAATGAAGCATGAATTGGGAATCAAAAATGCTGATGATGCTTCACAAAAGAGCCCAACTGTTGATATTTTTGAAAACCGAAGACAAGAATAATCATCACTATTGAGACCAACTATTTATTATTTTTTTTGACATGGCTAACTAAAAAGTTTTTCTTTTCTTAAACTAAAGCAGTGTTATTCTGTAGAAATATAATGACTCTCTCCAACTTCGTTAACTTGTCCTAATTTCCTTGGGTAGCTAATTAGACAGAAAGGCACAAATTTGTTAGACATCTATCTCAAATGCAAACAAAATCCAATAACCTATAGCAACTTTCTTAAACAATAAAGCAATTCTATTTCGTCAACGAGAATGGGTATCATTTATTGGAGCATGATGAAATACAATTGAGTTTGGTTACTTCAAGTTTTATGAGAGATCATTAACAAGAAGAAAACATGAATATATATGTACATCTAGTTATCAACATATGTATAAAAGTGAGAATAAAAAAGAAATAAATTGGCAGGAGCAGTGTTTAGAAAGGTTAAATTGGGTATCAAGCCTCCATGAGGCGAGAATGTAAATTTCTTCTGAGGCGCAAGCCTCAACATAAACCAATATAATAATTTAAAGAAAAATATAGAAATGAATTTATACTCATAATAAACCATCTAAAATATAACATTTCAACAAAATTGAAGAATTTGTAACTGAAAACAAAAAACAGATCAAACAAAGTAGCAAACTAAATAATATATTAACGAAGTAGTAATCACATAACAAGGCAACTAATCGACTATTAAAACTGAAAGTTTAGACAATGGAACGACTGATCAGCTATTTAGAAGTTTGCGTGTTTTGACTTGAAAAGAAGAGAAAACCCAGAAACTAAGGAAAGAACAAACAGACAAGTAGAAGAAGAAAAATATAAAAGAAGAGAAGCGTGTTGCAATCAGCGGCCTATTTGCTGAAAAGTTGCAACTTTACTTTGGTGGGTATGGTAATGAACCGAGTTGTAGGAGACAAGGGCCTGCCTAACTTCTCACTTGTTCTCTTTTCTAATGTATAGATCTTTGTTTCTAGTTTTTAGAATTGGGTTTCGTTTAAAACACTAATAAACTCATAAACCTTCTAGGCTATGAAAAATCAGCTCAAAAAATGGAGGTTAGGGTAAGGCAAGACCAGACTAAGGAGCGCAGAACTTGGGTGCTCTGAAGGGTGTGCCTTAGTATGTTAATTCATAGCCTTGGCAAATGGCACTCAAAGCAAAAGCTTTGAGGCAATGGAACGCTTCGTAACAGGCACGCCTCAAAGCATAAACCTTGGGAGCTTTTGAAAATGATAGGCTAGAGGCAACTAAATTCGACAATTCTAATAATTTAGGTTTCCACACTGTAAAGAAAAGATAAAAATGCAATGCAAAGTTAATGAACTTGAGAAAAGTTTAAATTTAACTTCAACGATCCTACAATCGAATACTTTGCAGCCTGGCTGAAGCAATCTGTGGAGAGCTACTTGAATGTGAGTCTTTTGACAGAAAAAGTCTTTTGATTTGATAATTGCTTCAAAACCAAAAGTACAGAACCACGATTGAAAGTGTCTCAAGAGAACTAGGGGAAAATTATAGAATTGGTATGTTTATCTTTTTTTATGTCTAAAAGTATGTTTAGAATGCTTAGAGACAAAAACTAAGCCCATGTTTGGCCCTCATTCTTCTAAAACTTATTTTTTCTCAAATTCATTTCCAACCACAGATTTAATGGAATCCACAACTTTTATCAATTTTTCAACCACACATTTCATCAATTTTTATCAAAATCTACTAAAAATCTATTTTTTAGCTAACCCAAACAGCGTTGAAAAAAAAATTCTAATTTAGGTTGCTGAGTTTAAGACTATTGGCCTGTGACGCAAACATTCCTGAAAGTAGAATATTGGTTTTGAAAATAATGAATTTCAACAGATCAAGTCTCAAGGTCTGAAATAGTAAGATTTGCTCTGACCATTCTGCTCAATTGATCTTATTGGTTTAAATCAATAATGTAGTAAATTGAATTAAATTTGAAGTCTTATGATTTTGAATACCCTGACCTTAGCTGCCATTTAAAATCTAACTTTCCTGCCTTTGTGATTTTCATTTGCTGAAGTAAAGTCATCGTCTATTAGATGGCTCACTGGGCTTTTTAATTTCTCAATCAGATATAAACATCACGGTCATGTGTTGGTAAACGTTCCAAGATTATTGCAAAAAAGAGGATAGATTATAGTGGCACCTTGTTAACTTTTAGTAAAAATGCCAGTAGGAGATTTTCAGGTTCTGTTCTGACCATCAAACTCCAGTGAATTCTTAGCCTATTCATCAATTACTTTTTAAATTTTTGATGGTGGTATTTGGTAGCTTGATAACACTACTTTCTTGGGCTTAGGGGTGGATCAAAAATTATATGGATTGCACCAAGTGGTGGAAGGGATCGCCCAGATCCAGTCACAAAAGAATGGCATCCAGTAAGAACTTTCTACTTCCCTCATTTTCCTTGTATTTGGAATTAATAGGAAGTACAAAACATTGAAGGATTAATGACTTGAAGTGCTACACTCTTTTCCGATCAAATTCGGGTTTCCAGTTTCTTTTGTGCTAGAATTCCGTTATAATTTGATTACTACAGATATTACAAAATATTGAAGGATTGATGACTTATGTGCTACTCTGTCTTTTCCGGTCAAATCATGGTTTCCTGTTTCTTTTATGCTGGAATTCTTTTATATCTTGATTATTATATTGTGTGATGGGTGACCTAGAAACATCCATATTTATTTTCATAAGATAATACAAATACTATAATGTGTATTTTTCCCTTGAATAAGAGATTGCTTCTTAATCTACATGTGCCTGTGGCCCTGTGTCATATAAATTGAGGTTCACTGGAATCACTTGAGAGCAATTTGGGAAAATAGTTGTTTGAGTCGAGCAGTGATAAAAAATAGTAGTGTTAATCCCAGGAGATGTTTCACTCAGATGTGAATTTTGGCAAAATGTTATATAAATATGTTCACTACAAATTTAACTTGTCCTTATTGCCATAAGAGAGTTACATATTAATTTGACTTGAAGTCTCAAATCCTCTTTCATATTTATTTTATAATCAATTTTTTACCAGGAACATATTGTTAAGTGCATAAAGAATTCTCTAAGATCTAAAAGTACTGAACAAGTCAAGAATACAATATATCTCTCCAGCTAAGATTAATTAAATAAAAACGGACACCTTTGAATTTTATTCAATAAAATTCATAATGATAAATCAAAACTCATCTCTATCACATCTTAGAAACTTCTTCTTGTTCTTGAAATCCTTCTTTCTCTGTCCAAATCACCCATAAGATAATGAAACCATGAATTAATACACAATCAAATTAATTTTACCCTTACGAAAGCCAATTGGCTTTTCAAGGAGTAATCCATTGTATCTACTCAGTATAACCCAATGAAAAAACAGATTCTTGGAGAAGTCCATACTATAGCCATATTGGCATATCAAAATGTGCAAACAAGTAATCAATAGGTTCCCTATTTTTTCTATATATAACTTTTACCATTAAGAGCAGAGAGAGAAAGAGGGACTTTCTTTTGAACCTATTGACTTGTATAGTTTTCTTATGAGAGACCGGCCATATAATACACAATTTAATTCGTTGAGGGACTCAAGATTCCACATGAACTTGAATGGGACAAAAAGATGGTATAGAAAGTCAATCAACCAGAGCATGGAAGAATGACTAGTAAGTAGAAAAAATAAAAAAAAAGGCAAATTCGACATCCACAAACTCTTATCTGTTAGCAAGAGTTCGAAATAAACATTTTCAAGGCTAGTCAAAAAAGAGGACAAATCTAAAATCTTACTCAAGTTGTGTCAACATTGAAATTACAATTTGTTGGCCCATTTCCTATGAGAACTTTCAAAAACTCTACGTTAGTGTAAGCTAGGAGAAGCTCCGAAAAGTGAGGCTTACTAAAAAATTAGCTCTCACGTCAACAAAACCACAGTAAGGATCAATTATGATTGCCGTAATCTGATCATAGGTTAAAACCATCCCCTATTGCCTACGCATCGCTCCAGGTTTGGAAACCATAAGTCATAGTGTCAATTTATTCTCACGGAGAGAGTATTAAGAGCCCGTTTGGTAAATATTAAAATCCAATTAAAATTGAAAATATAGCCGTTATTGGGTCTCAATCGTCTAATAAAAATCAACAATAACGGTTAGTTTTTCAATTTTAATCCAATTTTAATATCTACCAAACAAGCCCTAAGATGATTCTTATAAAATCGTTAATTACTGTTTAGTAATTAAGTTCCCATAAACAGGTTTATGTGCCTAACTGTAATTGATTAAATGCATTCCCTTCTCTAAAATTGATATTGGCTCCCCATCAGTTGGTCTTGCTTCTTCCACAGTGATTACTCTGGGATGAACTTCCACCCTTAGCTGGTTTTTTCTCTTTTCACATCTTTGTAAGAATAATAAGTTATAAGATTAGTTAGTATGTGTTACTGCAGCAATGTTTTGTGTCTACAAAAGTTTATTACGAGAGACGAATGTGTCTTTTTGTATTTCCCACCTGTATTTACTATTAGGAAAGAGTTTTTGTAGCCCTGATTGTTTGTGTTCATTTTCCATCATGGTTGGTGATTGATTTTCAAACTATATGTTTCTCATAATTTCTCCTTTTGCTTGGTTTAGCCAATCTCTTCTTTTTGTAGTGCCATGATGATCGGGTCTTCTTGATAAATTTACAGGCACCTTTTGATGCATCCTCAGTGGACAATATGAGAAGGCTAACTGAACATGCTGGGATTCCTGGTAATATATACCCTTTAGCAATACTGTGCTACGATATTATGCCTCCTCCTGCTCAGGTATCTTCTTAAACCTGATTTATTGTTTCTCGTTCCACGGTGTCTTTTTTATTCAGCTTCAGCTGTCTGGCATATTTATTTGTAGGTTGAGAAAGATATTGGTGAGAAAAGATTGATATCCTTTCATGGTACTGGATTGTCAGCTGCACCCAGTATCAGTTATCATGAAATTGCCGCTGCTATGGAAGACCCTGAAGAGGTTACTTCTTAAATATCACGTTTTTTGTTCCTCTTAGTTGAATGATTTGAACCTTTTTCATGGGTTGGATTCATCTATTTCATCGTATTAGAGCATCTTTTTTGAGTTATCTTCAGTATCCCATGCATAATGTCTGGGATTTTTTAATGCATAAAAATGTTAACAGGGAAATTTTCTAAATGACTTTCACCATCTATTTCAGATTTGTCTGTACAAAGATTTTTTGGTTTTAACTGGATTCTCTTTTTTCCTCAAGTTAACCTTCAGTTTCTTATCTTTATCCAAACATATGATCTATCACTCAGATTTTTCTCACTAATATGATCCTTCTTTTTTAATAAAATGTTATGTTTTGACCTTTGAGGTACATAGAGCTAGATATGATATTTGTAATTGCTACCCTTAAGTTTGAGCACCATCTTATTTTTTTTTTGCTTTAGAGCTTTCTTTAACGCTCATAGTCCTGTGAACATACATAAGCCAATTCATTTTAGATGGTTAGGTCAAATATTGTTGTATCAGTGTAGAAGGGTGAAAGTTTCATTGGTCAATGCGTAGTGCAGTGGAAATATGCTGAGTGTTTTAAACGTCTTTTATTTTCCATGAGATGTCTATATTCATATGGGTATTATTGGAACCAATTATCTAAATTTTAGGCTCACCTTGAATACACAAACTCAAATATCAGTTTGGTTAATTTTAAATGATGAGGATATCAATTTTATGTGAACGTTAATCCAAATGGCTGTCAAAACTTGAGAAACAGTTGAAGAAAGAAATGGGTGAGAACGGTTATACTCTGTATATATGCAGAAATCTTTGTAGGTAGGTTTTTCTGTTCTCTCCTATCCCTCATTTGAAACCCCCTTCCAACTGATGGTGGTACATATTTAGGTATAACGTTTGTTATGGAGCTTATACCACATTTGTCCAGTGTGCTCCGACTTTTAATATCAGTTTTTAGATATTATAATTGAAGATTAATCCCTCATTCATTGACATTCGGATTTCATTATTTTAGTATAGTATGGTTATTTGCTATGGCAGGCAAAGGTGGCATATACACAATCACTGTATTCTTCTGTCAACGAGCAGTACAATGTGCTCAAATCTGCGATACATGGCAAGCAAGGTCTCAAGGCATCAACTCCTACTGTCTTACTATCACAACCGTGGCAATAGTTTCTATCCGTAACTTTCCTACATTTTGGTTTATAACTAGGTAAGTTTTTATTTACTTGATATAGTTTGAAAAAAATATTCTATAATCTGTCTTGATCCTTATCATCACAATAGAACTCAGCTGCTTAGCCATATATTGCGGTTGATTGATTGTATGCCGTCTAATTTAAAAGGGAAACTCTTGCAGGCTAAAAGTCGTTTGACGTGACCATAGCACTTGAAGCTGAAAACTGCGTATAGTATAGTCTAAGCAAGCAATTCCAAGCTTACAGAAAGTTTACGATTTGATCTTCTAATATTTTGTCTGGGATTCCCCTTTGTGAGGGGGAAAGATGTGTGATGCCTTGTGGAGTTCCAAAAACTGAGCTCAGCTCTGTATAGTTTCTTAGTAGATCACATGAAAGGCCGGAAATTGGTCATTGATGAGAGCATATATTCTTCTATGGTATGTAGTATCAGTGTACTAAGTTTTGCCGTGCCTTTTGTTCTGATCGAGAGAATACTTGCAAAACTAAGTAAGATGCTTAAACTCCATTGCTCTTCACTATCGCATTTTATCACAATGGGGCAGGGTAATGTTAATAAATCCTTCATTTGTTGACAACAAAACTGGTCTTGGTTTATATATAGTGAAGGTGCAGGAGTTGGGCTCTCAATGTGCAAATGGTTCTTTTCTAGTATTTTTTTATTAAAAAAGTCACACACAGAGAATACTTTAGGAAATAAATATATTTCAAATGGGGGAATTAACTAGTACATGGGACCTGATTTTCACTTTTTTATTTTTTTTATTTATCAAGTGAAAAATTAAACCAATTTTATGTAGTAAAAGAACTCTTGACCGAAACCTATAAGCTGAGCTGTGGTCCAGTTACAGAGGTGTGAATGATTGGTATTGAATGATGTATAATAAATGAAAGAGTTTTGCTTGGGGTACATAGGAGATAACATAGGGGTTGACATAATACTCACATGAGGTGGGATCCGCTTTTAAAATGGGTCCCACCTCATGTGAGTATTATATGTACCATTATGTAGAAAAATTATGTACA